GGCGGGGGGGCGCCGGGCGGCTGCACACCAACCGCAGCCGAACGACCTGGGCCGTGTGTGGGCCCTGGGCCGGTGGGTGGAGCAGGTGCCGTGTGCTGAATAAACCTCAGTTGCAAATCCTTACGCAGAGGGAGTTAGGGACCCCTGGAGGACTGGGGTCACTGCTTACGTACCGCCCAGATCTTTTGAGGTGGTTATTGCCCTTTTGCAAAAAAAAGTTGCATCATATTTGGTGTTTCTTGTGCCCAGTGGGGGGGCTGCAATGGTCATGGGCACTACGCTACCTTTTGTAAAAATAGCATTCTAGGATGGACTAACAGTACAGCTGGAAACACTACTAGTAGTTGTTAGAAAATGGGAGAGCACTTACAACTACAGCACAAAGATAAAAGTGTAAGAATTGGATGCTGTTTGCATTACATGTCCTTGAGCAAAAGGAAAGCTGCTCAAATACTTTTGGTTGCTGCATAAGAGATAAAAATATTTTTCTAAATTGTTTAGCTACTCAGTGTAAATACAGTCACTACAGAGGCTTGTTGCTTAGTTCTCATGACACTGGTGTTCAGCAGCTTCCATATTGCTTAAGCAAACTGGACCTTTGTGTGCTCCTTTGTCATTGTCAGTTAAAATTAAATCTTTAAATATTGATACTGTGTATTTGGGGATTCTAAAATCTCTTATGTGCCTTTGAAATTGCCTTTCAGTGCTACAGCTGAAAATTATTCTTGTTACAAAACTGGCACAGATGATAATAGTGGCAGTGATGGCTTGTTGGGCTTTGCTTCTTTCAGGACTATAGATCTGAGACTGCTTCTGCAATATGACAAAGATACTTTTTTATACGTGATCTGCAGGAGCTGTTTGCAGCTGTGCTAAGGAGTAACACTAGCAACTTGGGAGAAAAAAGATGCCTCTTTCTCTTTCTGTTTTCCTGAAGACTAGCTGATCTAACTAGTTCAGTGCAGTATTTATTTTCACAAGGCCATGGGTTTTGTGTTCTGTCACTTTCTTGTTGGTTGCTGTAACTCCGACTTTCCTCTTGGGTGATTGTGTAGCATGACAAGCCTTGCGTTATTGTATCTGGAAAACTTCAACTCTGTGATTGTATTTTATTTTTCTTAGTCACTTAAATGCTTGGATAAAACATCCCATGTTTAAATATAGGTAAATTAAGCTTTACTTTGCTGTTATAAGTAAGGGCAACATATCAGCACAATAAAATCTATAAGCTACTCATAAAATTGTAGTTCTCCGGTACTCAAAGCCACTTCAAATTGTACGTGGCCCAGCCTGAAGAAGGGAACCCCTGCCACCTGTTGTGCTACCCGCATAAAAAGAAAGTACTTTGAAATCCTGGCATAGATGAGTGACTGAATAAACAGTTTAACACTGAAAAAGAAAGACTGATCCAACAGCAAATGCAGGGAAAATTAGATGATTAGAACTTAATGTTCAGAACTGCATTTTTAAAATTTTATTAGAGTAGCTAAAATAATGACTACAGTGTCCTGCAACAATATCGCTGATGCCCACAAGGTATCTGTTTAAAAACAAAACCACCTCCACCCCCAAACCTCCAAAGTAAAACAAAACCTAGCAGTATAATGTAACTTCTTTTTTTTTTTTAACTTAGAAAGCTTCCTTGGTAATGCAGTCAAAGGTGTGTGGAAGTGTATCTGGAGTTGTACTATTCTGTTTTGTCACCAAGTGTTCTCAAAACTCCTTTAAATGGAGGTCATTTAACAATAAATCCAGTTGTAGGACTGAGTCTGAAACTGATTTATTTTTTGAAATAAACAGTGCAACAGGTATTTCTTAATCATGCATAAGGTACATTTTTGTTGTAAAATTGAAGCATTTCAGGCTATCAAGGTGAAGATACTGAACTTTTTTTTTTTTTTTCTTTCTCCTAAAGTATCGCAGTTACAGATGCCTGGAATGCCAATGACAATGGGACAGCTAGTGCCAGGAGCGGTACCAAATATGCCTCACGGTGAATGGTCTGGATGTTCTGCGTATGCTGGTACTTACTCTGCTGCTGCTGACCCCATGTTGACTTACTTCAGTGCAATTGCTGGACAGATAAGATAGTATAAACAATATAACTCTATAATCAGCTGTGAAAACAACCCTAGTAAAGTTTTGTTTCATGCTTTTTTTCTTCAGTAGAAATACCTTAGCATGATGTTCCCAGTGATAATCATTCCTCTTCAGGTAAAACGTACAGTTTTCAACAATAATTGTAATTATAGGTGACAGTAGAGTTTACAGTACTACAGACTTGATAGACATGTTGCTGTTTAATAAGATAAAATTAATCAAAATATGTTGGCAGTTCATGTTCAGATTCTCACTGCTATCTCGAAATAGTGTTTCTTCTTTAGGTTCGCTGTACCTTATTATACGTGTTAGTGCTATAATTCTGTATGCAGATAACAGAACCTTAAAAGCCAGTTGTGAAACTTTTGAGACTAGGATTTCGATTGACTTTGTTCTGTACTGCATATGGAGCTTCACTAGAAAAGTATAATGCAGACATATAACTTCCCAGGTTAGCGTCCCAAGGAACTGGAGTTTCCAGAATGGTTGATGCGTGTTTTGCAAGGTGTTTCTTCTGGCATGAGGTCCCAAATCTGACATTTATGTTCTTAAAGTAAAGAGGGCAGGCTCATACATGTTGTGAGACTAAACCTATTTTTTGTAGATATGTATGGGATGTGCTGGCTTTGAAAAGTTATGTGGTGTTTTTTAAAAAGGAAGTATTAAATACTGTAGGTATTTTTATAATGTTGTTAATAGATAGTGATAGGAGTTGTTGTATTCCAAGAGTCTGCGTTAACATTCATTTGACTTACAGATGGTAATATGACCACTGCAATGTCACGTGTTAAAAGGAGTAATAGTCAGGGAATTCAGTAGTTCAGTACGGGGAAAAAGAGCAATGGAAGGTGGCAAGGATTCACAGAGGTCATGTGCGCAGCCCCACAGGTTATGAGATGGTTCTGGCTTCTGTGGTGTCGACACGCACCTTCTCAAGAACATAGATCTGCAGAAGCAACGTATTGGAAGATCTCTAGTTACAGGTGAGTGACCACCTTTTTTAGATTAGAGGGGCTTCTTTTTTTCTCTTTATATTTTAAATCGCGTAGGCTCTGAACCTCAGTGCTTCTGTTTCTGCTTAACATCCCTGCAGTAGGTGAGTAACAAGAGGAGATTTGAGGGGTAAAAGGAAAAGCATCTATTAATTATTTCAGAGTGGAAATGCTAATAATTTGGATACTAAGTATTGAAAACAAAGGTGTCATCATTTTAATCAACTTGCTGATTATCTTCACATGTAAATCTTGCATTAGAAAATGCTCTAACTTTGATAGTGTTTTTGAATATGTTTAGTGGATGTTTAATTACCTGTTTACGTGCTCACTGCCATTGATATGCTTTAAGCAGTGAGTTCTGCTTACTGCTTCCAGTTTAGATCAGGTGCGTTTCTCTTCTGGTGACTATTTAACAATGCAAGAACATTTTAGGTATCGCTACAGGTAATCTAATGCATTAAAAATCACTGATATTTTTTGCAAGTTAAATGTGAATTGTCAACTGTGACAAATGTGTGCGTTTGTTTTACAGGATGGAGAAGTAGATGCCGAAACACTGCAGAGATACCTAATGCAGTCTGGAGTCAGGAACCTATTATTGTAAGATACTGAGTTTTGCTGTGGCAGCCAGGCAGGTGCAGCTCGACGTTAAAGAGGGGTTACCACCACTGCCTTGCTTTCTGAGATGCAAAGTTGAGAAGACTGGGCTTTTATGCCTAATCTAATTCTGTCACCCTTCAGAATTAAATGATGATGTTAAGGAGGCTACTCCAAGACCGTAAGTTAATGTATCAGTTGATTCTGTAGTAGACAGACTGAAGATTAAAAAAAAAAAAAAAAAAAAGAGGGGGTGTTTTTAGTATCAGGCTACTTGAATGTTTTTTGTTTCTTTTTTAAATTGGATTCAAAAAAATGAATTCATGGTCACTGCCATGGCTGAAACTAATTATTAAAAATAATACCAATTACAAACTTCTGATTCTTTTGTTTTTTAATTACCCCTTCAGCCTTCAGATTAGAAACTTGCAGAATTATGATATCCATGTAGTATATATCTTTGTACATACTAGGACTTCAGTGGAATCTTGCTATCACTTTGAACCTCTGGTGATTATGAGAAACTTGAATTTTAAATTCTCTTAAATGGATAACTTTTAATACTAGTTTTGTTTGAGCATTTATAATGGGGTATAGATACTGATTATGGAGGCCTATTACTTGTATAACTGCTTTATTTGATTTGCATGTCTTGCACTTTGCAATTTTACAGAGTGGCTTTATTCATGTTAAGCTGACCACCAGCAGTATGAGCATTAGGAATCGGAGCTTCCATTAAACTTTCACAGTTTCTCAAAAGGAAAATTAAGATAAAGGTATGGTCATCATTCCTGATGTTGTGTGCAACTGTAATGAAATCATCAAAAGATCTGTAAAAAACATTTATCTTGGTATTAACATATAATTCAATTTGCATCTTAATATTGTAAGCATAATTCTTTAATTGATATTCACTGCTCTTCTGCTGCAGATTATTGCTGTGAATAGTCCTGCTTGCTAGTGGAGTAACTACTTTATTGCTGTGGGACGTTATTGCTGGATCACCACAGTAGACTGTGGAAGTTACCAGTAGAATGTAGGTAGCAAGATGTGAACTGTTCAGCTGACTAAATAATTTTTGGGCGTGCTCTAACTAATACTATGAAATGAGATTGAGGAATCGGTTTTGTTGCTAAAAACCCAAAAGCAGAAACAGCCTCGACTATCTCTTTGTACAATTTTGTGAATGCTTTTCATCTAGTAGATAAGTTATTTCTAATATTTGAATTTGTGGGTCCCTCCATTTGTCAGGATCGAAGTAGGCCATTCCTTTTGCATCTCACTGATAGTGTAATTGTACCTGTCACACTTCCAAAATCTCCAGACACTGACTTGCTTATTACTTCCTCTTCTAGTCCTTGCAGTGCACCATGGCATTCTGAGTGCTGAACTGCTGGAGGAAAAGAGGATCAACCTGTCAAAGTTCATGTTTGGAAGAATTGCTGTGAATGGAAGCTATTGTAGAGGTGTTTAACCTTCCTGCTTAATGAGACAACGTGCTTTGAGTGAATACTTCGATTTTCAAGTGCACGATTCGCAGCAATAAATATCTTTTGCATTTTACTATATTTAGAAGCATGGCTTTTTTTATCTGTACGTGTATAATTCCAGGCAAGTAAATTTCTGTGTTAAGCTCAAGAGCTTAATGAGAAGGAAAAGCTTATGGTCATATGTAATAGGCTGTGTCTTATAAATGGGTAGCTTGCTTACACAAATAAAACATCAGATACCCTAAATGCCATACGCGTTTTTTTTTCATTAGTAGCGGCATACACTCTCGGATGGCATACTCTGAAAAATGCTGCTGGTTTGGAGAAACCAGATCAGTGGACTCCATTAAAAACCCAAAATGTTCTAGGTAAAACTTTCTTACTGCTCCAGCTTGTTGCAATACAGTGGTTTTTTTGTGAGGCAAGCTCAGATAATACTATTTGAATACAGCTGGAATGGCCTTCAACTGATTGTATTTTTATAATCCCACCTAAGGCTTTTCCCCAAGGAGATCTGTGGGTGTGGTGTTCTGGTTTTTGGGTTTGTTACACAAATAAAACATCAGATACCCTAAATGCCATACGCGTTTTTTTTTCATTAGTAGCGGCATACACTCTCGGATGGCATACTCTGAAAAATGCTGCTGGTTTGGAGAAACCAGATCAGTGGACTCCATTAAAAACCCAAAATGTTCTAGGTAAAACTTTCTTACTGCTCCAGCTTGTTGCAATACAGTGGTTTTTTTGTGAGGCAAGCTCAGATAATACTATTTGAATACAGCTGGAATGGCCTTCAACTGATTGTATTTTTATAATCCCACCTAAGGCTTTTCCCCAAGGAGATCTGTGGGTGTGGTGTTCTGGTTTGTTTGGGTTTGTTTGGGGTTTTTTTTTGTTGTTTTTTCTTTAAGAGCTCAGCTTGTCTCAAAAGCTTTCAATGGCTATTCATCTGGATCAGTAAAATCACTTGCTGATTTTTTTTTTGGGGGTCTTGCATGCTAAACCCATTCCATGATTCACTCTAAATTCTCTAAAAGAAAATGATTCAAGCAATGGAAGTGTCTGGCTTGAAGACAGATATTTAGACAGCACTTTTCGTCAAAATATCTTGTGAAAATTTGGGCCTCAATGGATAGCAATTGTCAGCTTTATTACCCAGATTTTGTAACTAGATGTTATGTTAGATTTTTGAATTCCTCAGTCGGTGAACTTAGAGGGAGTAGACATGGATACAACTTGCAGTTCCACCTGAGGGATGGAGGTCAGTATGATACATGGAGATTGCCGTTTGCATAGGATTTTCTGAAAAGGTCTGATTTTGTGTCTCTGTTCTGTGTGCTTCAAGCCAGTGAGTGGTGTCCTGTGTAATCCTGTGCTTTTACGCTTATTCCCATGGTGTTATGTGTATACTAAATATAATTAATTTTTTTTTTCTCAGTGTTTTTGGTACAGATATATTCAACCTTTTTGGATCCCTGTTAGTGGTGTTTGCATTATAGTAACTAAATTCAAGTCAGTCACAAATGAAATGTTCACATCCTGTTGCTTATGACTGAAATAGTGCATTACATTTATTTGTGTATTTTTAGATTTCTTGCAAATAAGTTTTCTTGGTCATATAAAATATTGGATATATGCACAGTGTACAAGTGCTTTTATTTGTACAGTAAACAATTTTCCAGGAGATTTTTTCTGAAAGCAAAATAATAACTTACATTAACTGCATTATACAAAAACCTGTTATACGAACAGGATTTGCTACAGCTCATAGTAGTGAAGTATTTATCCAGACTAAGTTTTCAAAGCTTTCTTTGTATTTCCAACTTTACAATATCATAAAGTTTCAGTATAGAAAATGTAAATAATGCATAAAAGGGGCAAATGCCTCCTGTGGGAGGCTTTAATTTGGTCCATCTAATTTCCATTCCAAAGAGAGTAGCCATATTCTGCATTCATTAATAATCAAAGAACTTCCCCAGTGGGCATTAAAAAACCCCCAAGTAGCTAGATGAAGAAAAATGTTTCTTCATTAATAATGCAGTTCTATCTACTACTCATACATAGAGGTACAGTGAGAAAAAGCAAGCTTGCCATAGTGATGCCTTCGTGCAATTACAAGCTCTGGGACATGCTCCTTCAGTGTCATTGATAAAACTGGGTCTTGATTTTCATGGGTGATCTATTCTGTGGATCTTGTTTATTTTTTCTCTCATTAAGCTATTTGCTGTTTAACTTCTAATACACTCTTTTTCAAGTTTAGGGGGGGAAAAAAATGTATAGAGTAGATGTAGTATATAAGTGACACCGGGACTGCTGTATGACATAAGTACATATCATTCCTAATAAAACTGAAGGAAATTTTAAGTTCAGAGTAATCATGTTAAAGGCCCTTCTCCATGCTCTTTTTATTCCAGGTAAGGAAAAAGCTACTTAAAAATCAATTCTGTGTCTGGACAGCTGTTGAAAATATGCCAATGGCTGCATACCAAGTCTGTCTCCAGTCTGAATCAATTTTACAATTTACCAGTATTTTCATTAAAAATTTGACGTTAAATTTGAAAGTGAGATTAGGTCCCTTGCTTATTGTGTGTGGCTGCTAGATACTACAGATTGAACAAGTGCATCCCCCTGTATTTCAGTGGGGTTTGCATTAGTGATAATGAGGTAAGAGTAAACTAACAGGGAGTGTTGAGCTTGCATTTTCGTTTGTGTGCAAAAAAGGAAGGGGGGAAAAAAACCCCCACCCACTCTGGAAACTTAATTAAATGCATGATTGCAACCTTGTGGAGCAGCTGCAAGTAACGGTGTGGGTTTGAGTAGTGTCACAAATCACAGTTTAAAAACAAACCAAAATAAAATAATAATTAAAAAAAACAATCAAAAAAACCCAAACAAAAAACCCCAAACCCACAAACCGGTAGCCTCAGCACACAGACCTCGCTTATCAGACCCATTTTAATTCACTTTGTAGTTGCTCCTGTTAGTGAATGCAGGCACCAGGTCCGTGTTTCCTGCTTTGTCGGTCACTGTAATGCCCTTAGTACACCACTGTTAACTCGTACCGAATCTGGAGGCTCTGTTTGTCAAGAAGTGGAGGGCAGCTCTCTCTCACTTGAACATAATTACTCTGGACTTGACCGAGGATAGCACAAGATTAATTTGGCAGCAATTTCCTACAAGCAAAGTTCCTTATTCTGCAACAGGCGCAGTGCAGTGAATGTATAGCCTGCATGGTAACAGGGCTCAGTGACAAGCGTTGCTTCCTTCCCAGAAGAGCTCGGTGCTACAGGTGCTGAGCCTCAGAAATGTTAGTCTCGGTGAAAGAGGAGATTAAACTCTGAGAATCAGAACTCAAGAGGGGTGGTTGGTCGCCTACAACTGCCTCCTTGAATGTAAAACCCGCTGTGTGAGTTCCTGTGTCTCATCTGCTGGGCCACCACTTTCTCATTCTTGGAAATACCTGGCAACTACAGGTTTCAAAACGGGGAGTAAATGCTGACATTTGAATTGCAGCTATCTTCGCTTAGGCTTGTCTCATGTCTTCACTAACCTTCTGTGAAGGATTAGGATGTTAAAAGATACTAAATTTTGATATCTACTGTTTATTTCTGGCTATGAGGCTTATCCTTAAGCTCTTGTGGATATCCTACGTTTTACTAAAACTTTTTTAATGGCTTGGTTTCATGTAGGTTGAAAGAATGCTAAAAGAATAGAATTACCCTGTTCTAAAAGCCTGTCTGAATGAAAAAACTAAAAAAACCTGGTGCATTGAGCAGAACAGATTTTTCTGCTTCATGCATCAACATTTGATGCCAGTTTAACTATGTGGGCTTTTTTTTTAACCTTAAATAACTAGAAAGTGCGAGTCATGCTTGGAGCGTCCACAGATGAAGTTAATCTAACGTTTTTTCCAAGGAAGACTGTCTTACAATAGCTTTGCCATTAGCTAGAAACTGAGATTCGTTGGAAGCAGCAGCTTTCAGTTTTTTGAGTTCTGATCAGTTAAGTCTTTGCTACCTAGAAATTCATTGTACCTAATCTCTTAATTAACAAAACGCGGTAGAACTTCACATATGACAGTCAGAAGATGCTAAAATCGTGTACAATGTCAGCATAATGAATAATGCTTTTTCAAAAATACTGTCTGTGCATTTTCATCATTTTTCTCATTGTCAAAATTTTACTGGATTTTAGTCAATTCCAGGTGACTGAATATAATTATAGTCCTCTACAGGAACTAAGAACTTGGGGAGTTGTAGCCTTTTAGAAGCCATTTGCTTTTGCTGTGGCAAAATACCATCAATTTGGGATTCTGAAAAATGTAAGAAGGAGGAAAATAATGTCTATAGTACTACTCCCAAAATGTAAAAAGTATTTATTGACGAGTATTTAAAGTTGGCAATGTACCAAGGAATTACAAACTGCAATGCGTTATTTCTCAGTACAACTAGCTTGAAATATATCACACCTATGTGGTGCATTTGAGGAACCTGTGCAGATGTTTTTGTGGAGAAAAATTCTTAGGTTTTCTTTAATGAAGTCGGTTTTTGTTACTGTGATATTGAAAATGCCACTATGATATTGATGCCACAAAAACATTTAGAAACATCCAAAAGCCAATTTCTGTGTCTGCAGAAGTATTGTTAAAACCACAAGCTGTTGCTCTGTTTAAGACTGAGCTCAGTATATGGGGAAAAAATCATTCTGTAGATGAATGGAGAGGAGGTGCCCACTAGACCCAATTCCCAATCTGATGAAAAATGTGATAACACGTAACTGCTGGCTCATTGGAATTAATTATTTCTGATTTAAGCCAATATATGAAGAGTCAAACCTTAAATACTAGCGTAGACATCTGTTCGCAGTGTAAGAATATTTAACAGGAGAGTGTAGAAACATCAAAGCTTCTAATCTGCAGGTGTGGTGTTACGCACAACTTTCATTTGAGGAATCCTGCCTTCCGCTATGCTGCTGTTGCAGTTTCTCACTATTCTATTCGTGTCCAGGCTAGCTCAGCAGCTCTCAAACGGGAGGACACAGAATTCATCTGTGGGCAAAACTCAAGTTGCTTCACCTAAGCAGGCAGGCAGAGGCCATGCGAAGCAGTGCTTTTCAGCTTTTTGGATGTTACTTCCAATGTTGGTGAGTCACGCGGAAGCTCTGATGAGTGACCTGCGCTCACCAGAGAGAGGAGATTGCTAGGACACAATCTGCAGCAGGAAAAGGGAAGGCAGGTT